CCTGCACAGCAAGCGCCAGATCGCTGTGGGCACTACCGGACCGCAACTGCAAGCGCCAAATCGCAGTAAACCAAGCGCTAGATCGCACAGGGCACTCCCGGACCCCAGCAGCAAGCGCCAGATCCCCCTCAAGCGCAAGCTCCAAATTGCAATGGGAACTCTTGGACCTCAAGCGCAAGCTCCAGATCGCAGTGGGCACTCATAACTCTACATAAAGAGCACATGCCAGAACAAAAATCAGTCCATATTTTACATCACATGTCGGACGGCAAAAATACCAGAACACACGCCAACTAGTAACTAGCACGTCAGAACACAGGCCTTTATGATAGATGATGTGTCAGAGCACAAGCCAGAGTTGATGCCGTAAAAAGCGTCCCGCATATCCGCATTTATCAGGCTATAGTCTGTCAATACATGTACCCTACCTTCTTCCAAATCGTCTTTGATGGGATCACTCGAAGTAGAGCTATTTGTTTCAATATTTTGCAACTTATTTGATCAATAGGGGAAGTGAAGACCTTGCAACTTTGCGCCTGTGTATACCTTGACTAGGTGTTTGATCTCGCGTATCTTGCGTTGGTGGCTGCCACGGATACCCGAAGAGTCCGATTCTACCCTCCATCCCCGACACGGGAGGCGTTTGTTTGGGAGACGGTTCAAAAACTCATACATGTCGATATGTTTAAAGGACTTGGTGATCGCCTCAAACGGTTTTGGTAAGACTCTAGCAACAGGTGAAGAACTTTTCCATGGAAGTGGAAACACCCTCGTGTAGAAGGGAATACAGATGTTTGCGGCTTAGGCCCTCATAATTTTCTTAAGATTTGTGCATTTGGTGGACATCTTGAAATGCATAGAGTATGCAAGAATAATGTAACAATAGTAATTCTATTTTACAATATGTGTCCAAAACTGGGCCAGGACGTTACTATGCCCAATTGATCCGATTCAACATGTTAACGTGAGTGGTGACTGAGTGGAACAATATTTTTTGATGTAATTGTTACACCCAGTTTTGCGGGTTTATTTGAAGGTTTTCAGATTGTGTTCAGTAAGCGCCGCTTGAAATACATTGTTTGCACCACTCTACTCCAATCCCTTGGGTTTCGCCGTTGCTCGTTCCCGTGATTTTTGGTTCAACTGAGATCCGCAGAGGCTCATAACCCTGCGGTAACTGCGGTTTTGTCTGCCTAGCACTGGCCACTGGTACCCCTGCATACCTTTGGGTAAGCTTGGGGACCTTCGATCAAACAATCGATCAAGGGGCCCAGTCGAAAATGTTTCTTCTGTATCCTTTCGAGCGACATGTGGGCGCAACCAGGGACACAATGCACTGCGCAAAGAGGGAGAAAAAGTGGAGTTTGCGAGTATGTCACTCAGCGGAAGTAGAAACCAAAGCCATTTGCGGTTTTGAAGCTCATACCGTTGTCACCTTTTTTGGGGGTGTCAACAAGGCATTTGATGATGGAGGTCACCGTTGAGATTAGGGGTGCTTGGGGGTCATATATATATATATAATATACTTGTTCGTGAAACATCCCAGTGCAGTCTTTGGCTATGTTAAAGCACGGTTTGTCCTTAAGACCTGCTAGCAACATCCAGATGTGCCACCAAATGTTCCTCCTGCTCCTCTTGTAAATCCGAGGATTGAACCAATCACTAAGCCAGGCAACCTTTTCCTGCCCGGTTTGTCCGTTTTTTTTCCGGAAAGCATATATACATACATTGACAGATTCTAGGCAAGGAAGGTAGCAGCCAGTCAAGCACATGTGAAGCTCATGTGAAGCTCATGAACCGACTTGGCCATTAGGCCCAAGTTTCCTTTCGGAAAAGCGCGCCCGCACCGTTTCATGGTAGCGGAGCCCTGGTCGTACTGAACCGGGGCTCCGTTACCCACGTGG